CTTAGTTTCTTTGCATTGGCTTCCAGTAAAATCCAGAATAGAATTTAAAATCATTCTCCTTACCTACAAAGCTCTTAAAGGTCAGGCACCATCTTATCTTAAAGAGCTCATAGTACCTTACTACCCCACCAGAGCACTGCGCTCCCAGAATGCAGGGTTACTTGTGGTTCCTAGAGTCTCCAAAAGTAGACTAGGAGCCAGAGCGTTCAGCTATCAAGCTCCTCTCCTGTGGAACCAGGTTCCAGTTTGGGTTCAGGAGGCAGCCACCATCTCCACATTTAAGAGTAGGCTTAAGACTTTCCTCTTTGATGAAGCTTATAGTTAGGGCTGGCTCAGGTGAGTCCTGAACCATCCCTTAGTTATGCTGCTATAGGCCTAGACTGCTGGGGGATTTCCCATGATGCACTGAGCTCCTCTCTCCTCTACTTTCTCTCCCTCTGTATGCAACCTCATCCCATTATTGCATGTTACTAACTCAACTTCTCCCCTTTCTGGTAGTCTTGTGCTTTCTCGTCCTTCTCCTCTCTCCTATCACTTCCTGCAGGTGTTTCTGGCTCTGGAGCTGTGGAGTCTGGATCTGTGGTTGCGGGTCACCTGCTGCCCCCTGTGTTCCTGCTCGACACCCTCTGCTGCAACGACTATTGTTGCTAGTCTTATTGTTATTGTTGTTATTATAATCATTAACATTACGATTGTTATCATTTACACTACTGCACATATCTGTACCATTTTTCATTCAGTCTATAGCAACATCACCTTTACTGTCTGTATCTGTGTGTGTATATTGTGTAGTCTCTCTCTCTCTCTCTATTTCAATTCAAATTAGCTTTATTGGCATGAATTTAATAACATTGCCAAAGCATCATACATACACACAACATAAGAACAATCAGCACCATACATTTCATTAAACAATCAAAGCGTAAATTAATTAAAGCGTATGTGTGTTTGTGTTTATAAAAAAATAAATATTAAAAATGAAAATAAAATAAACAAAACAGTAAGCATGCGTGTGTGTTAAAAAATAAAAATATAAAATAAAGATAAAATAAATAAATAAAACAGTAAGTGTGTGTGTAAAAAATATATATATTAAATATTAAAATAAAATAAAAACGGTGTGTGTTAAAAAAAAAAATATATATATATATAATAATAAAATAAATAAATGAAACAGTAACGCGTGCGTGTATATATTTATAGACACCCCCCCCCCCCCCCCCCTTTTTTTAAATAATTAATTGATTAAAAAATAATAAAAAGAAAAAATAAATCAGTATCAGTTTGTGTGTGTCTGATATGAATTCGAATTTGGAGTATATTTGGGAAATGTTTGCAAAGTGTTTTTGTCTTAGTGTTTTATATTTGGGGCATGAGGTTAGAAAGTGCAGCTCTGTCTCTATCTGTCCTCTGTCACACTGGGAGCAGAGTCTCTCCTCTTGTGGTAGCCAGCTCTGTCTATGGCTACCCTTTTCTATGGCCAGGCTGTGTTCACTCAGTCTGTATGTTGTCAACATCTTTCTTAGTTTAGGACATTTTATTGTGCTCAGGTAATTTGCCAGTGTGAATTCTCTTGTTAGGGTCAGATAACATTGTAATTTATTTTGTGTTTTGGTCGTTTCTTTCCAGTATTCAATATATTTTTCTTTCTGCTTGCTGATTATTTGGTTTGGTCTGCTTGAGTTGGTGTTGCTGTCCTGAGGCTGTAGGGGACTTCTTACTGCAGAGAGCCTCAGGACCAGCTGGCTGAGGGGACTCTTCTCTGGTTTAAGCTCCTGGTATGTTAGGGCTTTGTGATGATATGTCTGGGGGTTAACTGATTTAAGTGATTGTAAAATTTAAGTGATCTTTTCTGTATTTTTAGTAAGAGGGGGTATTGGCCGAGCTCTGCTCTGCACAGGTTATTTGGTGTCTTTCTCTGCACCTGCAGGATGCTCTTACAGAACTCAGATTGGAAAGATTCTATGATTGTTTTGTCCCATTTGTCAAATTCATTATTAAGTTTTGGCCCCCAGATTTCGCTACCATATAGAATTATTGGTTCTAGTACAAATTGGAAAATTTTAAGCCAGATTTCAATTGGAATATATATTTTAATGTTTCTTTTTATTGCATAGAAAGCTCTCCTTGCTTTGTCCCTCAGATCTTTCACAGCCATGTTGAAGTTCCCTGTGTATGTAATGTTGAGGCCAAGGTAAGTGTAGTTTATTGTGTGTTGTAATATAGTGGTGTCTAAATAGAAATTGTGTGTAACCTGATTTCTGTATTGTTTCTGAAAGATCATTATCTTAGTCTTTGCTGTGTTTACTGTCAGTGCCCAGGTCTGACAGAATCTCTGCAGGAGATTAAGGTGCTGCTGCAAACCCTCTTTAGTAGGTGAGAGCAACACTAAGTCATCTGCATACAGCAGATCTCTGATCTCTGTGTCGTTCAGGAGGAGGCCAGGTGCGGTGGAACTCTCTATTTGGTTTGCTAATTCATTGATATATAGGTTGAAGAGAATTGGACTGAGATTGCATCCCTGCCTCACTCCTCGGCCCTGGACAGAAGAACGCTGTTTGTTTGTTTCCAATCTTTATGGCACATTCACTTTTTGTATACATTTTCTTAATCAAATCATATGTTTTTCCTCCAATGCCACTTTCAAGTAGCCTATAGAAAAGGCCCTCATGCCAGATGGAATCAAAGGCTATTTGGAAGTCAACAAAACAGGCATATACCTTTCTTTTCTTAATTTTTAATTCTTGATCAATTAGAGTCTGGAGGGTAAATATATGGTCTGTTGTGCGGCAATTTGGAAAAAAAACAATTTGGGGTTTATGCAGAATATTTTGGTTATCAACAAAGTTGACAAGTCGTTTATTAATGATGTTGCAGAATATTTTTCCCAGGTTACTCGATACACATATTCCTCTGTAGTTATTTGGATCCTATTTATCTCCGGATTTATGAATTGGGGTTATTAAATCTTTGTTGCAGATGTCTGGAAAAGTTCCAGTTGCTAGAATAATATTGAATAGTTTTTTTATCACCACCTCCAGAGTTTTCCATTTCGTGAATATCTTGTACTGATCATCAGTTTTTGTAATATTACTGTATAATTCACTAAAGTGATTAATCCAAGTATTTCCATCTTGGATTGCCAATTCATCCTGCTGGGTTTTGTTTAGGTTGTTCCATTTCTAGTTATTGTGCGATTTTTTGTTGATGGTATAATAAAAATCAGTGTAGCCGTGAGGACAACCAGTGGAAACATATTTTCTGCACCATGTCTCCTGTAAAACTATGATGTCAGAGTTTAACTCGCTATTAAAATCTGGATTTCTGCTCTTTAAACCAAAAGCTGATTATCTCAGACCTTGAATGTTCCAACATGTTATTGTAAACGATTTAATCTCCAAGTGTAAATTAGACAAACACCTTTAAAAAACAAATAATAGTAAACTAGATATTAAAAAATAATACAAGTAACAAACGAAAAGAGAAAAAAAAACGTAAAAAGAGGAAAATAGTATTGTAGGTAAATAAATAAAATATTAAACTTTGAGTGACATTTTAGAGGGTATCATGTGTGAAATACTGTTAAGAATTATCCTTATATAACTATTCGTTTAAAATGATATCCAACATGCTAACCTATGAATTATTGTGATGTCTCTAAAAGTCTCTGCTCTTCCACCATGTAGCTATATGAGGCAAGAGCGGAGCAGGTTTAGCATGCGTAATATGTCTTTGAGTGCACCAGAGGGGGCTGTGGCTCTTCTCACCGCTGCAGCATAGTTCAGTCCAATAGGCTGCTGCTCCTGTAGTCTTGGTTCTGCCATTGGGATGAGGGGGCGTATAGGACCTCCAGGCTGGGGGGCTCTCTGGCTGGGTATCAGGGGCCTGTGTTGTGTTGGCTGTGGGTTGTGATGTTGGTGATGCGGTGGGTTTGGTGGCCTGGCCTGGTCCTCTCTGACGGCCAGGGGTGGATGTATGGTGGAGGTCTGGATGGTCTTGGAGGACTAGGAGGTCCTGGAGGTCTGCGTGGGGTCTGTGTTGTGTGGTTACCCCTTGGAGTGGTAGTAGGGCTCCTTCCAAGAGCAACATCCTTCAGGGTCCTAGCAAGGGTGGGGACTGCATTTCTGTGTAGGTGTATGTTATCATACAGGCAATCCAGGTGCAGGGTCGGGTGGTGGGCCAAGAACACGTTGGGTTTGAGGGCACAGTCCCTGGAGAGTCTGATATTCACTCTGTGAATAGTGTGGGGGTGGAAGTCTCTCCTGTGCAGCAGCGTGGATATGACTATCTTGCTGGTAGGGAAATTGGTGGAGGCTTGATCAAGACTCTTCCTCAGAGAGTCTGCCAGTCTGTCCTGCTGGGACCTGAAGTCGTTGGTGCCTGTATGGATGATGATGTGGCTGGGTGAGCCTAGCTCAGGCACTGGTAACAGCTCCAGGGCTCTCCTGGTGTTGGGGCACCAGATCTTCTCCGTTCTGTGCCTTGGGAATAAGGTCTTTTCATCCAGGAACTTTCCATTAGAGTCCATGAGGAGGATAATGTCAGCCCTTCTGCCTGTGTGTGTTTGTTCAGACTCAGCTGTCGGGTCTGGATGTGGAGCTGTGGTGGTGGTTTCAGGTCTGGAGCTCCTAGCTGGAGGCTGGCTAGAGGCCGGGCCTTGGACAGGTGCGGGGGTGTGACTGGTGTCTTGGCTTGGGATGTTTGTATGGAGGCAGCTGGTTGGTACAGGGGGGGGATTAGAGTCTGCACCAGGCTGTGTGAGAGGGGGAGGGGTCCTCGAGGAAAGGGCTGCGTTGTCCTTCAGCAAGTGTAGTGGGAGTTTGGCTGGATGTGAGGGCTATCGCGACTCAGCGTCCTGCAACTTTCTTGCTCGAGTTAAAAATGTTCAGCTCATGCAAAGGCCAGCATGCGCTTTCCAGCTCTTTCCAAATCAAACTTCCTCAGCTGTCATCACATGACATGTCCAACACAGTCGCTTGTATTCAGGTGGTTGTATTCAGGGCAGGAGGAAACGGCTAGCTTGGCTCTGTGAAAACTGTCACTCTGATGCTTTGTGAATGGATTTGTGTCTTCTAAGGTTTCTCCTGTCGGTATAAGATTTGTCACACTGGTCACAGCTGTACGGTTTCTCTCCAGTGTGAACACGTCGGTGGATTTTTAGGTGAGCTGATTGAGTGAAAGTTTTTCCACACTGTTCACACCAGTGCGGTTTCTCTCCAGTGTGAACACGTTGATGCATTTGTAAGTTACCTGATGTAGTGAAGGTTTTTCCACACTGGTCACAGCTGAACGGTTTCTCTCCAGTGTGAACACGTTGGTGGCTTTTTAGGCTACTTGACACAGCGAAAGTTTTCCCACACTGTTCACACCAGTACGGTTTCTCTCCAGTGTGAACACGTCGGTGGATTTTTAGGGCAATAGATTGAGCGAATGTCTTTCCACACTGTTCACACCTATGAGGTTTCTCTCCAGTGTGAACACGTTGATGGCTTTTTAGGGCAATTGATTGAGCAAATGCTTTTCCACACTGTTCACACCAGTACGGTTTCTCTCCAGTGTGAACACGTTGGTGACTTTTTAGGTCACTTGATCCAGTGAAAGTTTTCCCACACTGGTCACAGCTGTACGGTTTCTCTCCAGTGTGAACACGTTGGTGCATGTGTAAGTTACCTGCTATAGTGAAAGTTTTCCCACACTGGTCACAGCTGTAGGGTTTCTCTCCAGTGTGAACACGGTGGTGGAGTTTTAGGGCACCTGATCGAGCGAATGTTTTTCCACACTGTTCACACCAGTACGGTTTCTCTCCAGTGTGAACACGTTGGTGGATTTTAAGGTCACATGATCTTGTGAAAGTTTTCCCACACTGGTCACAGCTGTACAGTTTCTCTCCAGTGTGAACTCTCTGATGAATCTTCAAATATCCAGATGTTGTGAAGGATTTGTCATAGTGCTCTGTCTATATCAACAGAGAGAAACACAGTAAGTGAGATGTCATGGTGGAGCGAAATCCACCATAAATGACATTAAGGCACATCTTTGAAATCACATACTCACTATGTGGTACAGTAGGTTAGTATGTACTGTCTATTACATACTCAGTCTGTACTGCATACTAAATAAAAGATCAATATGCTATTACCATGTATGCCCGATTGTTCACATAGAAGGTCAAAGATAAACACATTTCATATTGCAGGTATACAGAGCCTATGTTAAAAACCCTTTCCATGCCTTTCAGTTAGAGATATTGTGAGTGTGGAAATAGTTTTGGTTTTAATGTGACGTCTGAGCTGTGCCAACCGACAATTAAGCAAATTGTGTAAAGGTAATTTTTTTTCACATTTCAGCTGAATTATTTTGAAAGCATTGCAGGAAATGCACAAAGAGATTAGTTGCCAGAAATTGGCAGAATTGCGAGTTGGAAGTCAAATACGAAAATAAGTCATAAACGCAACACTTTTGTTTTTGCCCCCATTCATCATGAGCTGAACTCAAAGATCTAAGACTTTCTCTATGTACACAAAAGGCCTATTTCTCTCAAATATTGTTCACAAATCTGTCAAAATCTGTGTAAGTGAACACTTTGCTGAGATAATCCATCCACCTCATATGAAGATGTTGATCAGACAGCATGGTATTGCACAGGGGTGCCTTAGGCTGGCCACAATAAAAGGCCACTCCAAAATGTGCAGTATATATTTAGCTGACGCTTTTATCCAACGTGACTTATAGTTGGTATATATCAGAGGTTGCACGAGCAACTTTGGGGTTAAGTGTCTTGCTCAGGGACACATAGGCGGATGTCTCACAGTGGACTTGAACCCGGGTCTCTCACACCAAAGGCATGTGCATTATCCACTGTTCCATCACCAGCCGGAGGCACTGCAGGGAGTTGAACCCAGGATGTCCTGTTTACGAGACCGGCACTTTAACCACTGAGAGCGAGAGAGCGGTTAAAAGATACTTAAAAAAGGAAAAGTTAAAATTCTGATAATTCATTTCTTTATTAAACAGGAGTAAGTTAAAATGCACTATGATCTGCAGAACAGTAATCCATTGCTTGGGTACAAGAGGACAAAGAGATAAATAGGATAAAAAGACGATTGGTTATTGGTCGTCTGCTGCTAACACCGCCTCTTTTATGTGAACGCGTTCCCGGCTGGATTGGGAAACCCTGGGTTGACTCGCCGAGTTGATCACCAGCTTCGTAGTACAGCTTATCCAGATAGTTAGGGTTAGTTAAGCCAGATAATGAAAACATATCCTGGGTATGTTTAATTCGCTTCGTGGTACAGGCCCCTGTACATTGTTGCTAACGCCTCATTCAACCTGTGTACAGAACGTGTGGCTTACGTTCGTATATTACAATATTGGACTTGACTGAAGCTACATTGTGTCCGTGTTGTACTTTCCATTTCCCCTTTTACAGGGGCGTAACACATTGCTGAAAATGCAGAAAATGTTGAAGTTATTCTATTTTTTAAAACCCCAAACCTGTCTGTAGCCACCAGGTAAGCTCCTGTTACCAACTGGGGGCTTTGATCTATAAAATCTGGCTTCCAACAGGGGGCCTATTGTGACATCCTGTTAGATGAAGCACTTCAAAATTAGTAGATCTGAATTATAATAAACTTAATGTATACAACCCCCGCCTTCAAAGAATTAAAGAACATGTATAATTAGGCTATAATATTCCAAAAAAAAAAAACACATCCACGAGATAAAGCTGTTTTCACGCACACATATATATATATAATGTTACTATATTAATCATCATTTCATATAATATACGATATAGCTGTCCACTAGTACAACATAAATTCCAGTTAAACAATACAGCGGTTTCTTTTCATGGGTTGTTTTCAGTCAGTAACTCCTTGTGCATGAAAATGGTCTCTAATCTATTAATGCTAAGTTCTAACTCAATGATCAATAATCATAACCATTAATGCAGAACAATGACTTCAACATCAAAAGTTTGCTGTAGCACCTCAGACTTTTTATATTATTCAGCCCCATCCAGGCTGCGATGAAAGTGACATTAACAAGCACACTGACTTTATGAAAAGTTGAGGAGGTTTCGATAAAAGGCATCTGATACAGCTAAATGGGCAGCTAGCCAAACCTTCCGTATCTGATCACTATTATTATCTTCTGTCTTAATGCTTCAGCTGCAGTCGATCATCTGTCGCTGTTTTGTAACGAGCTGCACAAGCAGCCACAGAGCGACCTGACAGTAATATTACAAAGAGTTTAGTTTAGAGCTGCTCTGTCGGAAAAGTACAATTAGATATCTTTTGTTATGAAGCGCTTCATAAAAATAAACAATACATAGTGGCGGCTTTTGTTTTAGCTTTTTCGTAACAATCCGATCTTAGCTAAACAAGTTTTAATAACTACAGACAAAGCAGGTGGAAACATCGCTCTTCCACTTCTACCCTTCACCTGCTTCACTGCCTCGACCTCTCTGCTGTCTGCTGTGTGTGAGCTGAGCTCCGCCCCCCTCGGTCCATGACTTCTTTGGGTTTTTCATGACCGTACAAACTGTATATTAAACTGTGTATTATATATCAGGGTCATTCTATAATTAGGGGTACATTTCAGAACAACAAAAAACGGAAAAATAAAACCAGAATACAATGATTTGCAAATCCTTTTCAACCTTTGTTCAATTGAATACACCACAAAGATATTTAATGTTCAAACTTTATGTTTTTTGCAAATACTCATGCTCTTTCAATTTGATTCCAGCAACACGTTCCAAAAAAGCTGGGACATGTTTACCGCTGTGTTACATCACCTTTCCTTTTAACGACACTCAATAAGCGTTTGGGAACTGAGGACGCTAATTGTTGAAGCTTTGTAGGTGGAATTCTTTCCCATTCTTGCTTGATGTAAAACTTCAGTTTCTCAGTAGTCCGTGGTCTCTGATGTCGTATTTGTACACCAACACTGTAATGTCTATTTAGAACAATAAAGCAACAGCCCCCTTTAAACTACTTCTGTAGGTTATTTTTCCAAATTGCTTATAAGTTTTCTAAGTGAAGAATGTTCTGTAGGCTACATCATGAGCCAGATGTTCCTTCATTTACTTTAATCCATTACTAATAACTTTTATAAGGCTGGGTCTCTGACATTGGCAGCGTTATGTTGGACAGATTTGTGCTGCGGTGTTTATGAGACTGCAATCAAATACACTTTTAAATAGGCCTAGTAAAAAAAATAAAAAATTAGTATGTGGCGGTCGGTGTCGATATTATGGGCCGCCACAAATAAGTGAATGTATAGGAAGCACTGCCGCTCTGTTGTTGCTGCTGCAGCGGGCTGAGTAACTGGGACCAGAGGGCTCTGTGGGCGTGACTGGCCGGCCGACACCGCCGACATTTGAGCACATTTTCAATTCGCCATCAACTTTCGTTGATTTCCCACCTCAAACCGCCCAAAATTGTATTTAGTGATGAATCAGCACGCTAAACGTTCTGCCGTTTCTCTGTTAGTTTCCGCTGCATGAAAGCTTCTTTTTCGTGAGTATTCTTACAGTAGTCATGGCAGACAGTGGAAGCGGTACCGCCCCCAGCACTTCCTGTAGTGCATTGCAGTTAGAAATGAACAACCAGAAATGTTCTTAATAAGATTGCCATCTCTCCCTTAAATGGCATCTTTGTAACGATGAAATGTCACGTCGACGAATCGTTATAGTCGACGTCGTCGATTAATCGTTGATCACATCACTGTTATGGGAAGGCCAGCATACAGACCAAGAGTGAAAGTCACCAAACCAGTTGTGAAGCAAGTACAGGTGTGGCAGAGGGGGCGTCCTCTGCTCTTCAACACTGCTTTGACACAACAGACTGGGAGCAACAGTCCAAAAGCAAAGTTCTCACAATTCAGACTGCAAAGAAACGAAACCAGCTTCACAACTGGAAACAAATTTGTTCAACCAACAAAGCATCAGACATATTTAGGACCAAACATTTCAAACACAGGAAAGTTAAGCTTGGCTGTTGAAAAACTAAAGACAAAACAAGAACCCACAAAGGAGTTCGCTCTGCCTCCCGGTCCTGAGGTGAACTTTCAAGACTGAGATCATCACACTACGCCCACCTCAGCTTCAGGACACAAGCACTCAGAACATTAGACCCAACTAGGGCCGGGCGATATCGACCAAGAAATCATATCCCGGTGTAATTAGGCTGAATGTTAATTCGTACGTCGAAGCTAAATTTGAGATGTAGGATAAAATATCTGATCTTTTAAATCCAAAAATATAACTGAACCGTTGTTTTTCTTTTTACAAACCATACCATCCATACTATGTGCCCTTCAAGGATTTGGTGTATTTTACGGGCCGCCGTGCCCCGTTTAACAGCCCGTTATTCTTTTGATTGTGTGCATATAAAGCTGTGTGCGCTGTAGCCAGTTTTCAGGTAGTTGCTGTGAATTGTGAGGCTATTGTACTAAAAATGCGTAGTCACATTTCAGGATATTGCAGTATTCTAGCTAAAACACTCTCTGACTGTAAAATCCAACACATGGCCGTACTTCAGGTGTGTGCGTGTGGTTTGTAACTGTGGAGCACAATGGCCCGATAAACTGCCTGGTAAATTTCACCAGGGGGACGATACTGATTACTGAAGCTGGAAACTGCTACAGGCCCATATCAAAGCTGCCCCTTCTCAGTAAAGCAATTGAGAAAGTTGTCTTGAGACGACTCAGCAACTTTCTGGCAGCAAATTCAATCATCATCAATATTATTGTTTTATTAAGTTCCCTCCCTGTAGTTTGTTTAATTAACATTAAAGTCAAAGTCTCATTTTCAGCCACTAAACCACCCGATGACAGAATCAGACAGCAGCAGAGTTCCAGGTCAACATTTGCTGCAGCTGAAATTCCCCACGGTCGACTATTAATCACCTGATATGTTGTTAACCCTCCATGTACAAAAACCTCACGCCACAAGTTTATTTCCATCTGCAGCTGGCGTCATCAACAAGGCCCAGGACCCCCACTGACTCTCAGACTCTGCTCCCTGCAGTACTCAAAAGAGTTTTCTTTCAGCTTCTCTTCAAGATGAAAACAGGAACCACGGAGACACTTTGGAAATCAAACCACGTCAACACAAACCCTGGAGCGGGTTTTCAGGCTCTGATCTCTAACAACAGAATGAACGGATGATACACGGAC